ACCTCCCCTACTGGCCTGGCCCCCCCAACTGCCCTCCACTGCAGACCTGGTCCCTACCAAATGTCCTCCCCTCCTGGCCTGGTCTCCCCCAATGGCCCTCCTCTGCTGGCCTGGTCATCCCCAATTGCCCTCCTCTGCTAGCCTGGTCACCTCTAACTTCCCACAAGTGCCCTCCCCTGCAGGCCATCTTGTGGCAGCTATCTTGTGGCAGCTATCTTGTGTCCATATTGGGGCAGCCATCTTTGACCACATGGGAGCAAGCCATCTTGTGTCTTGGTGAGATTATCAATTTGCATATTACTCTTTTATTAGATAGGATGTGTATGGTTGCACAACCATAAATGTCATCCTGTTTTATAACACAACTGTCATACCCAAAAGTTCCATTATGCCCATGTGCAATTAATCTTTGCTTCTACCCTCAGACCTAGGCTCCTTTCTATCTGTAAAGTCTTGCCTTTTCTAGAAATTTCACCTAAGAAGAATTATATAATCTATAGTCATTTGTTTCTGGTTTCTTTAATTTAGCATAATTTGGAGAGGAGACATCATCCATGTTTCACATATCAGTAGTTGTTTTTTTATAACTGAGTCATATTCCACTGCACAGACAAATTATTTGATGGATGAAATCCATTCACTGTTTGATGGACATTTGTATTCTTTCCAATTCTTTACTATCATGAATAATACTGTTATGAACATTTATGTACAAGCATTTGTGTGAAAATATGCTGTAATTTCTCCTGGGTATTTGAATTACTAGGTTGTATTTTAAATTTATATCTAAATTTTTAAGAAACTACCAACTGTTTTTTCCAAAGTGGCTGTACCATTTTACATCCATATTAACAATGAATGATGGTTTCACTTTATCACATTCTAGTCAACACTTAGTACTGTCCCATTTTTTTTATTATGGCCAGTCTTTTCTGTGTGTAGTAGTATCTTACTGGAATTTAATGGGTAGTGATTTGGGGCACTTTTTCATAAAGATATTAGATATTTATTGTCTTTGTAGATTTTGGTCTTTGTTTGCTTTGGTCAATTGTCAGGACCCTGAAATGTGTTTTTTTGTTTCTTTTGTGTGCTTTTTTGTTTGTTTTGTTTTAATAATTTTGTCTAGTTTCATTGATGTTATGTGGAAAGAATGTTCTGATCTCTTCTCATGGCCATTCCTGGAATTCCCTTCCCAACACTCATATTTAGCGGAATGAGTAGGCATGTTGAACCTCATCTTAACACATCTACACACGTTCTAAGATGAGATTCAACATATCTTTTAATATAGTTTTTTGAAACTATATTAAAAGGTAATCTTTGGAATATCTGAGTCCATATGGCAGTCTGATTCTACATGTTTATGCTCTTATCCCTTCAGAATGTCATCAAAATAACATAATGGGGGGAAAAATAAAAATCTACAATTACAGAGAATAGAAGAAGCAACAGAAAAGTAACTACAGATAATCCAATGCAGTGAATGCAAAGAAAGCCAATATTAAGGACATATTACTAAAAATTTCAGAACTCGAGCTATGAAGAAAGGCTCCTAAAAGCTTCCAGAACAAGGAAAGACATATTCTGTATAAAGTATAGAGAATTTGAATGACATTGAATGTCTCAACAGCAGCAGCACTGGAAACCAGAAGAAAGTAGAACAACATTTTTACACCTGGAAATCTATATTCAGCTAAAATATTACATAATTTAGAGGTAGAATGATCAGATTTTCAGACATGCAATGCCTCAAAAATGTATTTGCAACTTCACTCTTTTTATTTAGTCATTTGTATTCTTATTATTCTATTTGGTACAAATCCTTTATTGACACATGACTTGCAAGTATTTTCTTCTAGTCTGTGACTTGTCTATTTTCTTACTGAAGGACATACTACAGAAAAATTACTGAAAGACATATTACAACAAAATGAGGGATGAAACAAAGAAAAAAAATATGTGGATACAGAAAAAGGAGTTGTAACAGATCCCAAAAAATAAAGGCAGGTCCTAAGATAACTTTGCACAAGCCTGACAAATACCAGATCCAACTTGAGCAAGAAGCATGAAAATTTCAGAAAAGTATTTCTAAGAAAAGCAATCGAAGCCAATTGAACATTTTACTTTTTCCACAGAACTGACAAATCTCAAAGTAGTTATTTTGGGATTTGTACATAGAAAGCTATGCAAATGAAAACAATGCAATTATTAAACCTTGTGAAAATGAAATTAGTACAAGAAACAAAATGTAATTATAATGCACATGCGATTCAGCTATGAATTATTTTTATAGCATCATTATAATATAAACATTAAATTTTACATTAAAATGATAATACTATTAAATTACAAAGAGAAAGAAAGAAAATGTATGAGGAGAGGGATGCAGAGCTAGGGATGAAAAAATAACCAATCTTCCATATAAAGAAGGCAATGAGTATTTAAATTGAAAAAAAGTTAAAACATCAAGAACATCAGTACAGATTTGTTATTTAAAAATATTAAAATATTAATATTTAAAAGTATTAAAAAGGTAAAATAGGAAGCACTAAAATTATTGAAATAATTTTCTTGAAGGAGTAAAAATCAGAAGTGGGGTGGAAATAGCAGGAGGCTCATATGCCAGTTAAAACCATTTGGTTTTTATCCTGACAAGGTGGCTTGGTTGGTTGGAGCATTGTTCCATGCACCAAGAGGTTACAGGTTCAATCCCTGGTTGGGGCATGTACTGGAGGTAACTGATCAATGTTTCTGTCTCGCAGTTATGTATCCTCAAAGAGGATTAAAAAAAACATTTTAATTTTTTAAAATATGTTTTTATAAGTATAAAACTTAAAACAAAAATATAAAATAATTTTATAAGTATTTTTATCATGTTGATTTCTAAATATATGTCATTTTATTTATTTTTATTTTTTTAATATGTGTCATTTTAAAAGCCATTCTACTAAGTTCCAGTTTTTACAAATGGCAATTAGTTAAATTAATTCACATGAGATGACTTTAATTCAATAAGATACGTACGTGAATGGACCAAGTCCAAAATTGAGTTATTTCAATTTATCAGGAAATTCCTTCAGGAGGTGAGGTTGTCATTTTGTTGCTATCCTGTTTTAACTAGAAAACAGACTTGTCTTAAGATATGCTTGTTTCATATCCTGTATTTATTTCCCTCCAGATATCTTCTAAGCTGGATGCATAATAATTAAAATGCACAAGAACAGATGTTGCTTGGTCTCTGTCAGGCACTAAGTTTTTTGATGTTTCATTCCTTTCAGTAACTGTGCATGAGAATCAGAAGAATGGTGTATTAGCTTCCCAAAGCTGCCATAACACATTACCACAAATTGGATGGTTTAAAACAACAGACATTTATTATCTCACAGTCATGAAGGCCAGAAGTACCAAATCAAGGTGTCAGCAGGACTAAACTTCTGAAGCCTCAAGGAAAGATGCATCCTTGCCTCTTCTAGTTCCTGGTGGCTTTAGCTTGTGGCTGCATAACTTCAATCTCTGTGTCTGTCTTAAGGGCCTTCTCCTGTTATCCCTGTGTTTCTTCTTTGGGTGTCACTTATAAGGACACTTGTCATTAGATTTAGGGCCAACCTAGATAACCCAGAATTATTTCATCTTGAGATCCTTAGTTTAATTTCAACTGTAAAGACAATCATGTTCACAGGACCCAGTGATTACAGTGTAAACGTATCTTTTATGGGGCCACCACTCAACACATGATCTCAAACTTCTGTGAGATGATAAATTTTTGTTGTTTGAGCCACTCAGTTTGTGGTTCTGTGTTACAGAAGCCCTAGGAAACAAATGCACCTATGTTTCTTAGACTGAACATTGTCTCTCCTAAGAATAATTCTTTATTAGGCTTTCCCATGATCTTTGAAAAATAAACCCAAAACCCCACTGACCTAATTCTTAGTTAATATGCCTCTTCACGAATTGAGAAAGTAAGGCATCTGCCTACTACATGTGGTTCTAGTTCTAGGTTTTCAGTATCTTACTATGACTAAGCTATTTATACAAGTTATGGGTGGATGGAATATATAAGTGTGTGAATGGATAGATAGATGATAAATGATAGATGATAGATAGATACCTCTATTACTTTAACTTTCTTATCTATTTCTATCATACTTTTTAATAAATACAGTACCATTAGTTTTTTCTCCATTTTATCAAACACTTGCTACAAACATAATTTTAATAAAATTGTCATGTCATACCCTCTCATGTTAGTATTTACGAAGATTTTCCAACCATTACATACTTTTATGTAATCATTGCTCCTTTCCCCTTTTTGTGACATCTTTTCAAATACAGCTCTGTCCAAATTTCAGAATATTTTCTTAAGATAGTGCACCAGAAGGGCAATAACTAGGCCGAAGCTATAAAAACATTTTTAATATTCTTGATATTTATTGCTAAAATTGCTTGCAGTAAAGCTGGTATTCTTTCCTTTGGGGTTAAATCCCAAGAAAATTACTTGTAGCAAGAGAAAGAAATCAAGTCATGAAGAGCTGTGGGAGCTTTGCTGTTTATAAATATTTCCTTAGAAAAAATTCAAAGCCATGCATACTGCTTATGTGACATGGAGGTCATTCAACAAAACTCTGGCTCATTCTGTCCGGAACCCCACCATTTCACTGCAGATAAGGTATTAAATTGTCAGCTCATGTACTGAGCAGAAGGCGTTTCTCTCTCATTCCTGTTCTTTGGAATGTTTCTACTGACCTGAACCCAGGATTATTTAGTTCAGAGATAATTTTCAATAAACTGTTGTCACTTGAAAATAAACAATCTGGACAATGTAGGGTCCGTTTGGAATACTGACAAGATTAACAACCCAGGATGTGTCTCCTTCTCTTTGCAGGCCTTTTTGGACTGTGTGCTCCAGACACTTCACTTTCTTCCTCAGAGAGAAGATTTTGTTTCAAATAAAGCTGTTTACTTGGCACCTCTGGGCGACCCTTTTTGGAAGCGCCATAGCCATGGGTGGCTTTGGAGTCTCACTTCGGAGGCACAAGTTCGTCCTCCTCGTGCTCTTTCTTCTGCACATTCAGAGTCTGGGTCTGGACATGGAGAGTCATCCTACCACTGAAGTCTGTGCCACACACACCATTTCACCAGGACCCAAAGGTAAGGAAGGAAAGTCAACTTTTCATCTCTAATAATGAGGCGGTCTTCCTTCAGCTCTCAGCCACATTCTAGCTCTTAATATCTCCCCTCCTCCCTAGTTCCTTCCATTTTTAATATATTTTGGAAAATCAATGACCCGTTATTATTTTTTTAATATTTTTATTGATTTTTTTATAGAGAGGAAAGGAGAGGGATAGAGAGTTAGAAACATCAATGAGAGAGACTCATCGATCAGCTGCCTCTTGCATACGTCCAACTGGGATGTACCCGCAACCAAGGTACATGCCCTTGACCTGAATCAAACCGGGACCCTTCAGTCTGCAGGCCGACGCTCTATCCACTGAGCCAAACCGGTTTCAGCTGACCCATTATTTCTAAATCTCCTTTTATGTTAGGTAGGAGAATATTAGGAGGGGGTGGGACTGCAGGGGAGGGATGTGATAGAACTGATCCAGGGCAGGGGGACATTTCCGAGCTGCTCTAGAAGAAGACACACACGAGCAAGATACTAGTCTTCAGGAATCCTTTCCTTTAAAAACCAACTCCTTTCTCCTACTGTGCTTTAACGACACGAGGCAAAGCTCAGCGAAGTAAATAGTAAACCTTTTGTATATTTCATAAATTAACGGGCTGCTGGGTTCCAATGCAGAGGAAAAGTTTTGTCGAGGAGTGGAGATAGTATACAAATGAACATTTCTTTATTTGAAAGCGAAGTCTTTGGGGCCAAGTGCCTTCGGCTGAGGGATGATAGAACGTTGCAAGTTTTTTTTTTTTTTTTTTTTCAAGTGGAGCCAAGGTCTAACTGTGCTTCAAGCAACCGGTTGATGAAAAGTGCTGTTGTTTTCCTGGTTTCAGCTCTGACCCTTTGGTTCTGAGAGTGGTCACTGCAGTGCAAATCAGTGTTCTCTCATTAGTAATTCATGCGATGTTCCTCTAGGCTATAGGGCAAAGGAATTATAGCTGCTTAAAATTTTAAGTAGAAAAAAAGGGTCTTTAAAAAAAAATCCCAGAAATGCCTCGCCCTGTGCTTGTCAGTTATTTAAATGGGTATTGCTTAAAGTGCATTTTTCTTAATCAGTGAATTAATTTCCTCATAAGATTGCAATCCAAGTGTTAACCTTTGCTACCACAAAATAAATGGAGGGGGAACAATGAGACCTCGGGGCTTCCTAATAATTTCTTGGGTGAATTAATGAATAATCTGAGGGCAAGTGTTTAGAAAAGAAAGTTTTGGTGAGAAGTAAAGTGTTTACTTAAAACCATTATTGAACTTTCTATGGAATATAGGAAACTGTGTTATTCTTTGTATTATTCCTAGGGTATCATAGAGAATGCTGAAAATTAACACTTCCCATGTTCCTGCAAATAGGAGAATTCATTTCATAATAGAAATGTTAAGATGTTTTTCTTGTGGGAAAACTGCAGTTTTCAAACTGGAAGAAGAATGGACAACGTGTTGTTAAAATAATGTCCAAAATATAATGTTCAACAATTCAATTCATCCCAATTCCAATATATTGAATATATACTAAGTGCCAAGCATTCTTTTAGGCACAAGAATATGCTTAATATGCATTAGATACTATATATTAATGTCATGAGCGATAAAGAGACATATGATTTAGGAGGGAGATCAGAGGGTAACTAATATTTGTTAGATGCCAGTAGGGTGTCCACCATAAGAGTGTGTACCTTCACTTCTTTGCTCAATAGAAAACATTTCCATTCACATTAGAAACTGTTAAGATTTCAAACAATGGAAACCTCTATAACGCTCTTCCTGAGCCTGTGTGGAAATCATGAAATGATTACAAGCCAGAAATATGACAGAGTGAAGAAGTGAGTGCTCCTGGGGAAGAAATGTTCAGGGACTTTTTATAAATCCTGGGTTCCAGAACCAAGTCCATTAAGAACCCAATGTGATTGCTTTTCTAAAAGTGTGTATTACTGAAGAAAACTATTTTTTTTAATTTCTTTATTGATTAAGGTGTTACATATGTGTCCTTATTCCCCCATTACCCTCACTATCCCCCCCACTCATGCCCTCACCCCACTGTTGTCTGTGTCCATTGGTTAGGCTTATATGGCATGCATACAAGTCTTTTGGTTGATCTCTCCCTCTTACCCCCACCCTCCTCTACCTTCCCTCTAAGGTTTGATGATCTGATTTATATTTCTCTGACTCTGGATCTGTTTTTGTTCATCAGTTTATGTTGTCCATTATATTCCATAAATGAGTGAGATCATGTGGTATTTATCTTTCACTGACTGGCTTATTTCACTTAGTATAATGCTCTCCAGTTCCACCTATGCTGTTGCAAATGGTAAGAACTCTCTTTTTACTGCAGCATAGTATTCCATTGTGTAGATGTACCAGTTTTTTAATCCACTCATCTGCTGATGGGCACTTAGGCTGTTTCCAAATCTTAGCTATAGTAAATTGTGCTGCTATGAACATAAGGGTGCATATATCCTTTCTAATTGGTGTTTCTAGTTTCTTGATTGCTTCTTATTCTCCCAGAGCCTTGGGGCTTTTCATCCAATGGATTCTAAGTTCCTTTCTTATTAAAGACATCCCATGATTCTAGAATGTATTGACTTCTACTAAATGCCAAGCATCATATGAGATGCTAAAGGTTTCCAACTAAGGAAGAACTTGAACTTGTACTAGAACTTATATCTATATTGCAAACTCTTGGTGTCAGGGCCCAGCTAAGTTTTTTTTTCTTTGTGAATTGCCTATGTGTATACACGGTGTAACATGAGCATAGTCACTACTATCCTGCCTCTGCTCTGAGCACCGTCTAAATGCACGCACAACAAATAAGACATTGTCTTCTCCAAATATAAACTGCCATCTACCCTACCTGATTCATAAGCATGATGATAGTCTCTCCCCACTCTTGAACAATGCAGCATTGTATAGTTAGCTCTACAAAGTGAAGGAGGAAAGAACATAAAAAGACCCAGTTTGATGGCCAAGTAAACATTTTAAATGGCTGTTGTTTATGCTCAATACATTATTTCTAAAATCAAGCTATTCTGTACGCTTCCTCATGGCTAGTTATCGTAATTCATATTTACCAGCAGTGAGCTCAGAAACTTCTAGATATTCAAACAGACAATACAAGGAGTTTCCCTACATTCATTTGCAGAGCCTTGAAACTAAAAAATTATTTAGCATTGCAGGTGCAAAAACAGTTAGGTTAACCCATCATATAATATGTTGTCCAATATAGAGGCACCATATTTCACTGCATTATTTCCCAAGCGTAACTAGATTCAATCTGTTTGGTCTTCAGTATATTATTACACCTATTTATGCTTCAGTCTTCTTATTTGTAAAATGGACTCTTAGACCTATTTTTAAAATAATGTAAGATAATCAATGTAAACTTAAAGCTGTATAGACATGGTAAGTAGGTACTTAAATTTTATTTATCTTTTTTTCCTCTCCCTATGTAAGTCTGTTGAGTAACAATTTTGAGATAAAAATTATTCCAGTTATCAAAACTTCCTTGTGTAAAGCTACCTTTATTTTTATTTCTTTGCCTTAAATTTGTTATTTTATTCTGCTTAGTAGGTATGTTTTTGGTAGGGTGTTTTTTTTTTTGTTGGGTTTTTTTTTTTTTTTTTTTTTTCCTACCTTGGTAATTTCTTTAAACAATTTATGTGAAATTCTGACCTCTAGTGGTTTTACTAAAAAACAACAATGATGAGAAATTTTAACAGACTATGTTAAAAAGAATTTAAAACAAATAAGAAATATTGTGGTGATGCTTTATAATTTCTAGTGACCTTTAAGATACATTATCTTGTTTAATTGCCCTTTGAGGTAGCAATTACTTTATACTTAAAGATAAGGAAAAGTATCAATGAGGCCAAGCAAAGCCCAAGGTCTTTCAAGTAGATATAGTGTAGTCATGCAACTTGAACTTTATCCCTACCTTCTGGCTCTGGGTCCAGTGTCATTCCATGACATCCACTGGTTTATATTAGAATCCATTTGAAGACATAGTGCACTGTGTCTTTGATAAGAAATGGATAAAGCAGTACCTAAGCACATGGAGTACATGTAACCTCTCGGACCAACATTGTACTGCATGCCAAAACATATTGAAAGTGATGACATGCCTCCTCTTTGATAATTAACTTCACTAGCTTGTTGGGGCACTAATGATATTTTACCCTATTGCTTATTTTGGCTTCTGCTTTTTAGTTTAGCAGCTTTTTCTTTCAATAACATCTGTGTGTGCATGGCCTAAAAGGTCCTTTGCAATCCATTTTGTTTCTCCCTACTTCTTCCAGGTCATTTCAAACCAATGTTAAAAGAATGTTTTCTCCGGCCATCCTTGCTTTGTCTGTCACCTCTCACCTGGAACTTTGCATTTGATGTTCCCTCTGTTTGGTCCAGTCTTACTGCACATGTTCCTAAGCAGAGTTCTGCCTTCATTCATTCAGGTTTTAGTTCAAATGCCATTTGCACAGTGAGACCCTGTCTAACTATACATTCACTCTCTACCATAGTTTTCAAGGTATTTTATTATTATATTTTTAATATATTTTATTGAATTTTTACAGAGAGGAAGAGAGAGGGATAGAGAGTTAGAAACATCAATGAGCTATCTCTTGCACACCTCCTACTGGGGATGTGCCCGCAACCAAGGTACATGCCCTGACCAGAATCAAACCTGGGACCTTTCAGTCTACAGGCTGATGCTCTATCCAGTGAGCCAAACAGGTTTTGGCAACATTTTATTATTTTAAAGGACTTACTACTAAATGAAAATCTCTTGTGTATATATACATTTATAGTCATTCCTAGAATGCAAGCTTCTAGGATGCAGGGATCATGTGCATCTTGCTGAGTGTGCTTTCCTACTGCCTAGAATAGTTCCTGACACATAGTGGGTGCTCAATAAGTATTTTTGATTATATAAATGAATCCCAGTTATCTAAGATCCCCCACCATTTTACCACATGGCTCTGACTTACTCACT